TGAAACGAAATCAATGACTCAAGCTTTACGGAGATGTGGAGGAACCCATTTGCCACCTGCAGCAGGTTTAGCCGGGGGAGCATCACTAGTCTTTTCCTCGCTTCTGCTCGATGGACTTGGGCCACCAGCTGCACCCTTTGCTGCTTCTCTTTCTCTCCAGCCTACCTTAGCACCAGAGCCAGCAAGAGCAAGAGGTGCCCGTCTTTCCCCAGTGGAACTAGTACGTTCCACACTTGGTGCTGGGCGAGGCGCAGGTGGAGCGTCAGATGGAACTTCCTTGCCCTCGGCACGGAGTCTCTCCTTTTCTCTCCAGTTGATCTTTCCACTAGCACCAGCAAGGGCAAGAGGGGCTCGCCTTTCTCCAGTAGAGTCCGATCTTTCGATAGGAGCACCACGAACAGGGCCTCTTGCCTTCTCCTCAGCTCTTCTCTTTGATGCCTCCTCAGCTCTACGCTCTTGTAGAGCAGCTATCTCCAATGCCTCCTGCCTCTCCTTCTCACGAATGGCCTTAAGCTGCGCGAACTCGGCCTTTCTCTTCTCCTCTCTTTCATCCTTCTCAGCTTTCTCCTTTTGAGCACGTTCTTCTTCCTCCCGAAGTTTTCTCTCTTGCTCTTCACGTTCTCTCTTCTCGCGAATCTTTCGTTCCTTGAACTCCTTTCTACGTTGTGCGACTTGCTTCTCAAGTTCCTTCTCAGCATCGCGACGACGCTTGTCGAATTCTTCGTGTCTGCGCTCGGCAATATCATCACGGAAAGATTCATAATGAGAGACTAATCTGGCCAATCTGTGTTTCAGGGCAACATTTTCAGCGTGTTTAGCTTCAGCATCCTTCAAGGTCTGAGCCTTGGTCTTTTCATAAGCGGCCAAATCACGTTGCCTTTGTGCTTCATAATCAGCAGGTAGCTTCTTGGCTTCCTCCTTTCTGAAAGCTCTCTCGAGATGATCGATACGTTTACCGGTAATTCTCAACTTTTCGTTGGTATCATTCTTCTCGCGCTCGAGTTGGGCCAATTTCATGGCACGAAGTTTGTTGCCATCAAGATTGTCTAAATCGTCAAGATCGATGTCAAGAGCCTTGTTGCCAATCTTGAGATCATCAATTTGCTTTTGAAGCTCCGCTTTTCGAACACGTTCCAATTCGGCCTTGAGACGGTCCTCCTCCCGCTTCTTTTGTTCAGCTTCAAGTCGCTTGTCCTCGGCCTCTTGGAGTTGTGCAGCCTTGATGCGCTTTCGGGTAGCTTCTTCCTTCTCTTTGCGAGATTGAATCTCGGATGCTTCCTCCTTCCGCTTCTGGATGGTCTCCTTTCGTTTCAACGTCTCCTTGTGTTCTTCATCGGCACCAGCTTTAGCTCTTGCGTATGCTTCATCACGAGATTTGATTCTTGCTTCGTTGAGAGAAGGATCAACATATTGGCAAGTGATGAACAAAGCCTTGGCAAGACGTGTAAGTTGAGTTCGTACAATTTCGGAAGGAGTGTTTTGGAGTCTTTGAACAGAGGCAGTTTCAGCCTCAGCAGATCCTGCAGCAGATCCAGCATGAATTGCCTTAGTAGAAGAGAAGACATCTGTATCGAAGCTTAGAACACCAGTAGCGTGATCCATTCTGATGGCAAGATCACCCTTCTTGTTACCGTTCATGATGAACTTCTCGATTGTTTCCCTGGTTACTTGGAATGGCTCTGGGAATTTGGCGAGGTTCTCGACAAAGTTGAGATCAACGGTTTCGTAAACTTGAGAAAGTTGTTGGAAAAGTCTGGTCAAGATGACTTGTTGAAGAGGAAGGACATATTTCTCCATCTCAGCATCAGCACCAATTTGAGACAAAATTGGGGAGATCTTCTGGCAAATTGAAAGAGGATGGAAATCAACTTCGAGAATGTTGTAAAGCTCACGGATCTCAGGGCGGGCACGCTTGAGAAGGCCCTTGCTCATGGCATCCTTGAAAAGAACAGCACGAGTAGGAGCTTGACCCATACCGAGAAGGTGAGTAAGACGGGAGTTCTTGTTCTTCTTTTGCTCATCAACATCGATCAAAGCACCGCGGGATCTAGATGTACTAATCACAGGGATGGCGAGGGCGGACAAGAGAACAAATGAAGCAGCCTTGGAGAGGTCGGCCTCAGAGGTTGCTGGATTGTCTGATTTCTTGCTTTGACCGGCTGCAACCATTTGAGCGGACTGACGGAGAAGGTTATAGTATCTCGACCATGCAGCAGCATGGAAGAGATAGTTCTCACCAACCAAAAAGATTCTGGTTAACTTCTCATAATAGTTGGCCATCATCACATTCTTGGGGGGTCGCTTGCTGAGGCTGAGCAAGGTGTGAATGTCCTCAACACTTCTGAAAGCCTCTTGCCATAACTCAAGCTCGACTGCTACATTCAATTGTTGAAAACGGGTTTCGAGATGGCGTTGAAGGGTATCTGGATCGTTGAGATTGATGGCATGCATTTGTGCGGAGTACTTTGCAGCAGTTTGAACATGGTTTCTGAGCAGTTCGCACAATCGACGGAACTCGGTCTTTCTGGTGTATTTTTGGCAGAACTCGAATGCTTGCATAGCCGTGCTCTGGTACATAATCTCCAATCTGGCATTGTTTCGGAGAATATCGAGGACGGTTCTGTATGTCTCCCACAAAAACTTCAACCATGGTGTAACGATTGCACGGTCGGTACGATCTCTGGATTGTTCGCCCGATACTGTTGACAAAAGGATAGACTCTGGGGTTTCTGTAGCTTCCAAATCATCGACACTTGCGGTTGCTGCTGTTGTATCTAATGATGATTGAACCTCATCGGCCTTTGCTTGTGCAGTCTTTACTTTTTCTTCGGCCAACTCGATGAACTTCTTAAGAACGAGCTAAATGGAATTTATCAGCTTCGCACACATGCGAAAGTGCCACCTCTGCTTACCTCGATTGTTCCAACGTTGGTGTTTTGACTAATATTCTTGTATTGGTATAAAGCGTCCTTTGCGAGTTTTCCTTTCTTTTGTTCGACGGACTGTTCCACCAATAAGAGCATAACAGGCTCTAATGAAGTAATGGGAGCATTTCTTGATCTTTTAGAAGTAACATGTTCGTGAAGTAAGACCAAAGCTGCCTGAGATTGTCCAACGCCCATTAATTCATGGGCGCGCTTGAGGACATTCTCAGGTTTTTGATGTGGAGGCGGCGGCATGCTGGGCAGCGCTCTTGTGTTTGTGTTGATGCGATGGGATAACCTGTATCAATATCTTCAAAGACAAAATTTTTATCTTTGCGATAAACCAAACAAAGTTGTTTCCTGCCAACTAAAATTGTCCAGGGCTGGGTAGGTACTCCGACTTTGATGGATAATCGAAGTGGGTTGTAGGTTTCCTTAACAAAATTACGATAGCGATAATTTCATACAAGTTCGTGTGGGAAAATAAACTGGAAAGGGTTAGAGCTCTTTTTCCCCTAAGGCCACAACGGATCTGAAAGCAAGGCGGTGAAAGGAAAAGGTGGCAGAATGGACAAATTTCGCGAGGGGTGAAATGAATGAGGACGAACAACGTCGGTGAAGCATTCAATATCACATGACAAAATTAATGATGTTTTAACCATAGTAGGATATTTATATTAATAGTAAGTTTGAACCTTCTAAAATACTTTTACTTATATTTCAACTCGAAATACTAATCTGTTGATCCGTCATCGAATACCTAGTTGTTGAAAGGTGTGTGCTGTTTATTTCTTTCCTTCTATGAATTATTATATAAAATGAATTGTACATCAATCTTATTGGAATGAACTTGCATTCTAGTACTCTACAGCACCTCTCAATGTTCCCATTTGAATCTAACAACTGAATGTTCATTAGTCCTGAGTGTTCTGATGCTACAATATTCCAATTTGTCATCCGATAGAAATCTACAGACAAGTGTCTTGTGGAGAAAGAAAAACCTTCCCATCTATCTGTACTGAAGCACTAACTGTTTAGCTACCTGGTGCAGTGATCACTGTTGATTAGTCTTCCACAGGATAGAAATACGGATGAAGGGAAAAGACATAGCCCTAACAATGTACTGATACCAGTGATTATGATAGTCTAAATAATCCAGCACCGGTAGTAATAAGACTTCTTCGAAAGGAAAGAGAAATAACGAATGGGGAGAGACCTAGACCTGAGGAACATCTGGAATCCAGCAATTGTCCAAGTCTAGATAACTTGTTGTTCCTGTGAATAGATTCTGGATAAGAAAAGAGTAAGCAAAGGGAAAGGCTTAGATCAAGAGAGCTATACCCGAGCATTGCATGAATCCCAACAACCGTTCAAGTACCCTTACGATCTTTACGCCTTTTATTCTGTTTTTCCTAGGTTACCATGGCGATGAGGCTTCCATGTTTCACGTTGCAATGCGCCGAGAACCATTAATTGTATCACTTGTCAGCGCAGATGCATCTCGTTCACACGAACGACTGTCGCACGAGCGCGCGATATCAACAAGAATCTTTCGGATTTGTAGCTTAGTCCGTCTAGCTTTCGTTAGCAAAACTTCCGGATGAGGAAGAGGAGAAATCGAGATGAAGAGACCTAGACTTGAGAAATCTAGGTTTAAAAACTACACGGACTCTGGCAATCATAATTATTGGGTTTATTGAGACTAGAAAGAGCATCAGATTGAATTGATTTATTCTCTAGCTAAGCAGTTAAGCTACGAGTATATATTCCAAAAAAAAATGAAGGAATAAGGTTAGGTATTCAGCCTTCGGAATTAAAGTGCTTTGAAATCAAAATATTGAAAGCAAACAAACAGTATACCAAAAAGGAAAGAATGAATTAAAAGTTGAGTTTTGTTTGCTCCTTATATGCATATGTACTATATATGCATATGCTGCCAAGATCCCAGGAGGTCAACAATAATCAAATGAAGTTTTTCAATCAAGTGGGAAATTTATGAAGGATAGCATAGTTCCTCAGAACCATCACAATCTTGGGATTTTGAAGTCATAAGAGTGTCACGAAATGTCACGCTAGTCATGTAATCTTGTTTAACAGAGCAATAAGGGCTACCAACTTGTTGGCCCTTAAAATAACCCTTTCCAATCGTTTACCACTACAGCCTACTTTTCTCTGTTCGCATTCTGGCACACTCTTTTCAACTGTATAAGCTTGTTATTAGAGGTAATAGTCTCCATTATAGCACTGTATTTAGGATAGGACGACCCAGAACCCACAGGTTGAGATATGATATCAACTGTCCGGACTAGTATACCAGACACAAGCTTTCAATGTTAAAACAAATTCAACACTTTAAACATATTCAATATTCTCCAGGCGGTACTAATAGATAGATACCCCAGGCAGGAATATTGACAGCAATATGAAATCTACACACTCTCAACCATCAACATTACTATCTCCCCTCCCTCAAATATCGCCACAAGATCCTCCATCATGTCACCTACATCCGCAATCGCAAAGCCCTGGTTCCAAACTCCCTTTCTGTGGCCAGGCACTGCACCATCAATGACTTTGAAGTATCTATAATCCCCTTAACGAGCATATCCTATCCTTCTACAGCACCAAAAACATGAACTCCATTTTTGTGACCTGCCACCTCATCCACGCCGAGCTCGAAGAGATCCCAGTGTGTCCAATAGACTTGTAATATTGCATATGAATCACGAGTTAGACGGCTAGTTTATGATTTCGTTGAACTAAATAAATTATTTGGGCGAATTTCATTAAATCTTTTCGGATTAACTAATTCAGAATTTGAAAGTTTAGATTGATATCTGGTTTTTGTAGATTATTATCTAAGCTTTATATAATATTTATATAATATTTGAAAGGTTTGTAATTTTTATTTATGAAATCCTCGATCAACATTATGACATTTATAAGTTGATAGACTTTACAGTTTGACATTATATTTTAAGGAAAATATATCATTTTCTAATTCAAACAAGTTAGACTGCAATCTACCTAGTCTAACTTTTATATAAATGAACTAGTCAATATATTTATTCTTAGATTATAAACTTTCAAACTATAATTATACAAAAACCCCAGAAAGATTTACATCCTGCAGTCCAAAATATTAACATACGGAGAGACACCCTTAGCACACTCAAGATTTTAATTTCCAATTCCCGCTTTTCATGCATCTGGCCAAAGTACAAGATATCACAATCATGATTAGCCTTTCAGCACGTCTTATTTGCTATAAACATAATGGTGACGATTATTCATCTGGACCTTGCATACAACTACACAGGAGAATCTATCTGGGGACGTAAATAGGAATAGATTTCAACAAACACATAAAGCCTTGATCAAATTAAGGAAAGAGTTATAGCATTCTATATGTCTAATAATTTGTTATACTTCGTCTAAATACTCGCCTTATAAAATTTCCAGTATATCATCTAATATAAAATGTAACGTATATAGCTCTATTTATATTCTCAGATAATTATAATTTATTTAGAATGTCTCCCAAATATCCTCTTATTAAACTCAATATCCAAGGGAATATCAATTTGATTTCAAGCTGTCATATTAATACACTTTATATAATCAAATAAAATTATTTCTATTAAAGTCTCGATATCTTATTGTTACGAGGTTTGCCGTCTAGATCACGTGGAAGTGCTCTAGGCTCTCGAAGTAGGTTTATAACTAGGCGTCAAGCAGGGACTTGAAGTAATGACAATAATGATATGCAATTCGTAACTAATAGTAGAGTATACTAAATGATTGATCTTGAGCACGAAGCTCTATACAAAAGAAATCCATCTTGATTATATAGTCCTTCGTGCCTATGGTTAACTAGGAATCGTCGTTCCTGGGAACGAGCGTTCCTGGTTGTTCCTAGGAACGTTCGTTCCTCACCGTTCCATCACATGTTTTATGGTCATGTGACATACTAATCGTTTTGGACGTAACACTTATTACATCTCATACAGCACATAAGATACTAATAATCAGTACTCTAGGAATCTACCGCCCACTTATTATCTCAATCAAGGAAAGTGCTTTTCCCATTAGCTTCTTTGATATGATCTCATCGGGTTGAAGGATTATTATTAATAAACTTTTGTTTTTGTCTTGAATATGTGATTATAATTTCTATATTATTTCTAAAACAAATGAATTTATTCGATTAATTGTAATTTTAAGATTTTTTTAAAAAAATTATTAGTTTATTTTTGATTATTTTTATTATAAGATGATTCTAAAATTTTAATATCTAATTAATAAATCTATAAAAGATTTAAAAATTTAATATTATATAAATAAACATATAATCAAATTTTATAGAATTACATTCATAAATATCAAATCTATAATAAATAATGATAAAAATCATCATTTTATTTAATTATAAAATACTAGACTCATATATAAACATTTAAACTGTGACGGAAACCCCTGCTTTCCTCCCACCCTTATTATATAAGAAACCTCAGGTACATTAACCATGTCCACACATGATACGATTACTCGGGATTAGTATACGATTTAGGTGACCTGAGGATCAGATCTGGACAAGTACTAGGTATCAATGGTTATCGGTAAAGTAAGATCATTGGAGGGATAAATATGACTTCTTTTTGCCTAGCCATTGCGGCTAGGCTATTCATTTGTGTATATATAAAAGTAGCTATCCCTATCTACAGGTGCTCTTCACCTGTAGATTCTAAGTTAAATACAATTGCTGGTCTATAAACACCCTTTTGGTCACATAAACAAATATATATAAACTCTCTCCCCTTCTCTTCCCTTCAAACCCACATTATCAAAAAACCCCCCAGAAATCCCCATCAAAACCCGTCCCCCTCAAAGCAAGCCAAGCCAACCCCCCAAAGCTAAATCACATATACATTTACAATCACCATCTACACAAATCACCACAAACCAAACCCTAAACTATATATATGCTCAAAAACCTTAGCCCTGAAATCAAACATCGAGAGCTAAATCACATATATACTCACCACCTAATCAAACTACTCTAAACCCCAAACCCCAAACCCTACAAATACAAGTCTTAAATATATAACTTTATAGA